CCAGCCTGACGTGGCTCAGCAGTTGAGCACCGACCTAGGATCCAGGTGATCGGGGTTCGATTCCCAGTCAGGGCACATGCCCGGGTTGTGGGCGGATCCCCAGTCGGGGGCGTGCAGGAGGCAGCCGATCAATGACTCTCTCATCATTGATGTTTCTCTCTCTCTCTCCCTCTCCCTTCCTCTCTGTGAAATCAATAAAGATATATTTAAAAAAATAAAAATAAAAAAAAATCACTTCCCATCTCCTTTAGCCCTACCTTCTCCCTCTCTAACATTTGTCCTGAGCGCCACACTGAATGAACTTTAACCTTTCTCCTATTATGTTTTGCTGTTTTGACTCTATTACTTTGTACATGCTGTTCCCTCTGCCTGGAAAGTAATTCCCTAGCTTTTTTACTTGGAATAACCCTCATCACAGTCCAAGTTTCAGTTCAAATACCTCTTCAACAGCATTATACCGAACCTGTACTTTGTATGCGCATCATAGTTAGTTTACTGCCTTCAACTAAGCCCCATAGCGCTCTTTGTCAGTACCACATGTGTATGCTGTCTGCTCTCCTTGGATATTTCTCTTGTCTGCAAGGAACTGCACCACCCAAACTCTTGCCGCCTTCTCAGGGGCAGACTGCATCCTATGGCTTTTTGGTAATAGGGTTATAAAGACCTGACCTCTTTTCCCAACTTAGAATAACTGTGAATGGCCATCTCATCTTCAGAGCTCCCCATGGGGCCAGCTGAGGGCATCTTGAGACTACAGGGCGGACCAGCCTTTCCTGTGTCACCTTCCTCCTCTTGTCCACCCTCCATTGAGCACTCGTTAATGAAATCCCTGCGTAAGTAAGCTTCTAAGAGTCTGCATTCCATCGAAACTCTCCTGCAATACCACTGTTCTGCTTTACCAAGTTTAATTTCTTTACGACAGTTCCATGATGCCCATTTTTATTTCCTGAAGGTTTAGCATAGGCCGTGACATAGAGTAGATCAATAAATATTTCCTAAATGAAGGGATGGGAGCATATCCTTTTATTCTGACTAGTTGCATAAATAAATAAATTTTGTCTATTTTCTCCTTATCATTTATATGAGCTTATATGGTATCATTAACTTGCAAAATTTTCTTATGCCAAATATTAGTTTTATAGCAGTGCCTATATCACAGTGGTTCTGATTTCCCCTTAAATATAATTAACTGAATAACATTGACTTTATTAATTAAAGATTAACATAAATGGTCCACATAGGAACGAAATTTCAAAATCCATTTGGACAAGGAAGTCAGATTTTTCCTGCAGAATAAATTCTGCAAGTGACTAAGTGATTTCTTTCTGAAGTTAGGCTTATATTTATACATAAGCTATTTGTTTGTATAAACGAATGATACAGATGACTTGACTTGAATTACTTATGCTACTCTTTCTGTAAGTTACAAATTTCCATTAAACTTTTTGAAGGGCTACCCTGAGGTTTATTCTACACTTGAAAAGTCTTTTATTTTTACAAACATTCAGTATATATGAGTGTATATGAATTTTTCTCTATTGATTGAGATATATTTTGGAGAGAGAATATCAAATGGGTATCAAATTAGGACTCAGATGACATAAATTGGATTATTTATTTTAATTTACATTTCCTTTTCTGAAAAATAAGTATGGTCACACAGACATACTCTATGCCGGGGTTTCTCGCCTCAGCACTGTCGGTATTTTGGATTGGATATTTCTGTTTTGGTGGTAGAAGGGACAGTCCTTTGTATTGTAGGATGTTCAGCAGCATGCCTAGCCTCTATCCACCAGATGACAGTGGCATTATCAGATTTGTGACAACCAAAATTGTCTCCAGACATTGCTAAGTATCCCCTGAGGGACAGATTGTTCCCAGTTGAGAACCACTTTTCCTTGATCAAGGTGATCTGTCTTTCCTCCTCAAGTCAACTGGAGGTATTTTCTCTAAAGTCATCAGTAAAATTTCAGTTGCCATGTTAATGGTATTTTCTTGGGCCTTTTTAATCTTAATGCTTCAGATTTCTCCCAGAGGATATCTCTTTAAAAGTTTCCATCTGTGATAATCACCTAGGGGTCTGCAATGCTAAAAGATAAGTTTTGGTTAACCTGTGAATTGGTAACTTTCTTGTAGAATAATCCTATTTTTCTACCCTTGAGGGAGGTAGCAAGGGTCACGTTATATCCAGCTTTTAAAATGTGGAATGTAAAATGTATGCTAGATCAGAGATAACTTTCTACACATCAGAACAATCTGTCTGTAGAAATGTTTCCTCTCTCTTTGTAAGCCAAATGCTGTCTTCCTAACCAAGATGACATAGGTGATCCAAAAATGATTAGAAGCCTTTATTAGGTTTCTATCACTGCTGTAACAAATTACCACACAATTATTGACTTAAAACAACACAAATGTATTATCTGGACATCAGAAATCTAAAATCATTCTTACTGAGTTAACTACACGGTGTGAGCAAGGCTGGTTCTTTTTGGAGGCTCCAAAGGAGTATTGCCTTTTGTAGGTTTTAGAGGCTGCATTCCTTAGCTCTTGGCTCCTTACTCATGATGGCTTTACTCCAACTTGTGTTTCTATTATCAAATCTCCTGTCACTCTAACTCTACTGCTGCCCTGTTTTAAGGACCCTTGTGGTTTCATTGGACTCACCTGGAAAATCTCATCTACTCTTCCCATTGGACATCTTTGTTCATTTTACCACAATGTTCCACTCCTCTGCCGATCCTCATATACCGAAGGGAGAGAGACTCGCTTCTGATATATCAGCTTTGGGAATTATGAACTATTTATAAACAAATTTGCTTTTGATGGACACAAATGGCCATGAAAAGGATGGAGTGAAGAACATAGCACTGCAGCCAGAGTGCGGAGGAATCACACTCCGTACAGTACATATTTTCAGTACATATTTTGTTTCAAATGATGTTTTGAGCCCAGCCAGGTGTGGCTCAGCGGTTGAGCATTGACCTAGGATCCAGGAGATCGAGGTTCGATCCCCCGTCAGGGCACAGGCCCGGGTTGCGGGCTCCATCCCCAGCAGGAGGCGTGCGGGAGGCAGCCGATCGGTGACTCTCATCATTGATATTTCTCTCTCTCTCTCCCCCTCTCCTTCCCTCTCTCTGAAATCAATAAAGATATATTTTTTAAAAAATAAGATGTTTTGAATCTCGACTTACAAGGAACCAATATGCTGGGGCGTTGGCACAGAAAGATCATGGTTCAAAATGAGCCAATAATATAAAATTGGATTATTCACATTTGTCACCCTTCGTAACTAGAGGAGGGCGACTAGGAGAGGGACAACTGGGACCACGCCCGTGATTCTTTCAGTCATGTGTAAATTCTCCACCTTGGTAGCTGGTTTATAGTAAGAACTCGACTGCACGTCTCTGAATGTCCAAGTACGGGCTATGTGTGTAAATGAGTGTGAGAGAGAGAGTGTGCACCTGTGTAGTCCACAAGCTCCTTTAGCTCATTGGTCCTTAACATTCATCCTATGTCAAACTAACTCTAAACTTGCCTGTTTCTGTTCCAGGCAGCACCTTTCAACCTTTCTAAAAACTACCTTTAACTCATTTTTATAACCAGTACATCTCTAAGAACTGTTTATTTTAATTATAATTTCTTAATCATCTGTTCACGCCTTCAGTGTTCTAGTCGCTTTTGCCTGAATATCACAGTCACCTGGAAGGCCTTTTACCTAAGACCTCAGCTCTTTCCTGTTCTCCTGTGTCCTGTTTCACTGGAGTAAAAACCATCATCCTCTTTCATCAACCTGTATCATTCCCTTATTATGGAATAAAATCCAAATTCCAGGACATCAAATTTAAAACTCTCCAAAAGTTCACTGTAACTCCCCCTTTCCAACAACTATCTTGCATTAAATCAAATATAAGTCCTTGCATTAATGGATGTGTTCCACTCACTATCTGCTAAATGAATCATTTATGGTACTGAAGTTAAATCAGACTCTTTAGAACTACAGATTTTACCATGTATCAAACTTTACTAATAACTCTAAGGAGGCAGGCATTCGATGGACTCAGGTGAAGCATGGAGGGGCCTGAGAGTGCCAGTGCAACTCTCAGTTGTTCCTCTCTCTATTAGTATGTAACTTGGATCAGAATTTACATAGAAGTTGTCTAAGTAACACATGTGAGGCATCAGTTATACAAAGGGAGTTCTTTCCATCATAAACATCTCCACTGCATGCTTTAGTAATCACATATCTAACACTGACATTTTCCAGTATGCTATGCCTCATAAATTAAAAAAAAAAAATCAGGTTTGTTTTCTATAAGCAGCTAAGGGAGAGCAGGCATACCTTGAAAAAAGCATTCCACAGAAAAGAACTTCCCATCATTTCTTCACTTGTAAATACCATCTTGAGGCCTGACAGAGATTAGCATGTTACTAGGAGATTTTACATGGCCCCTGTCTTTTAATTTCTTTCTTGAAGGTGACCCTAGCTCCTTCCCATTTTCTTCCCATTTATCTTCTCTAAAACTTACTTCCTCTATCTGCAAAGTTTCTTTGCCAGTTCTACTGCCTATAAAACCCTAACTTCACTTCCAGTTACTCTATGATAGCTCAAATTTATTCTACATTCTAGAAATTGCTTTTGTTTCATATGCATCAGCTGTCATTTATTAATATTATTTTTACCATATTTCGTCGACTCTAAGGTGCCACCAATGAAAGGACGCATCCTGATCAAAATGTGAAAAGAGAACACATCTTAGAATCAATGAAACATAGTAGTACAGTCAAACCCACTGGGCATGGTCCCCACCACAAAATCAAGCCTCAAGGTGCTTCGTGGAGCCCTGGGCACCTGGTGGACAGCCATAGAATAGAAGTCAGGACCACAAGGGGTTGTCTAGGGCCTCTGGCCATTTAATGGGGGAAAGGGGAGAAGGAGGGCCCGCCAGGAGCAGTGGAGCCCTGAGCCCAGTCCCAGGCCCTGCGGTCCACACTGGTCACAGTCAAGGAAGCAGCAGCAGCAGGCCGAGCGCCAGGGCGGTGGCGGCCCACGCCGTCAGGCCGCCCGCGGGGATGGGGGCCCTGTTGCACAGTTCGCCATAGCAGCAGATAGAGACTAGGTTGTAGGTGATGCCCTTGTAGAGGACAGGCTTGTCACGGTGGCCACATGAAGAGGAGAGCATGCAGCCTTTGTTGATGATGGGGCCGAGGTCAGGGATCATCCCGTGGCCTGTGAAGCACTCCTCGTCGTCACCACAGGTCATGGGGATGCCAAGGCAGTTCCAGGACTCGGTCAGGTCACAGAAGATGCACTGCTTGGCGCCTGTCGTGACCGGGGGCAGAGCTGTTAGCAGAACAAGTAGCCAGCCGAAGACCATGGCTGCTTGGCGGTGGTGGCCTCCGCAACTGCTGGGTGACGCTCTGCAGCCCACAAAACTTTTGCTCCTGGTTCTGGCCTCCCAGAGTCAGCACCTGGAGTGTCCTTGGTTCCCAATGTTCCCTGTCCCTCTCAGGAGCTTCCTTGTGACCACAGCCCTCAAGTCCCTGGGTCTCAGAAGTTTCCTTGTGACAGAGACAAGCCAGTGGCTGCTGCCCACCGAGAGTTTTTGTGGAGCAGAATGGAGTGACCTCACAGACCCTTCAGGGTTCCACTGGCCACTCTGGGGGTAAGGTCATAGGTGGGGGAGGGGTGTCACACTCTGAGGGTCAGGTTGACTTGCTGACCTGCCAGGGAGCGAAGACATTGCCACCCTGCTAAGGTTAGAACACCGGGCCCAACACTTGCCATCCTGCCCATTCAGTCTTCTGCTCTGCTGGGTGCTGGGTGCTGCGCCTGCCCACGGCGAGCCTGTTTCTCAGATGGGCAAACCAAGGCTCAGGAGGAAAAAGTGACCTAGAGCCAGGATTAGAGCCCAGGTTTATTTAATTCCAAAGAGAGCATTTATTGAGCACCTGCTGTGTGCAAGACCAGTGCTAGATTCTCTAAATAGCAACCACTGTGATGACAGGACTTGGAAGGGCAGGGCTCACCACAGCTCCTAGGCTTCTAGTGTTGGGCACTGCCAGGCACCATGCAGGGAGCTTGACCTATGTTCTCTCCTTGGAATATTTCTGCGTATTAGTCACATCTCTCAGCTGAGCAAACAGGCACACAGAGAAGACACAGCCAGAGCCTGGAATACAGCAAGTGCTTAACAAGTGGGGGCCATTATATGAAGCAGCTGTGTCTTAAAATAGTACCCATGGATGTCATAAAATGAACTCCCTGTCTTTCCAGAAGTGGAAACTGAGGCATCCTTCAGTGGGAACAGGCAGAGCCCAAGTTTAAACAGAAGTCTGAGTCCAGATGATAATTTAATTATCTTACCCTGTTGTCCTCATGGACTAGGTACCTTGGTGGTCCCCATTCTACAGAAGGGGATGTTGAGTCCAGAGGGTGGCAGGATATTCTTTCTTATTTAAAAAAATTGTTGCTGACAGTATTACAGATATCCCCCAGTCTTTCCCCTTTACCTCACACCTCCCAGCCCATGCTCCACCCCAGGCCTTTGCCACACCATTGTCTGTGTCCATTGCTTATGCATATATATATATATTCTTTGGTTATGAATATATATATATATTCTTTGGTTAATCCCTTCCCATCCCCCCTGTCCGTCCCCTCTGAGATATGTCAGTCTATTCCATGCCTCTGGACCTATTTTGTTTGTGAGTTTATTATGTGCATTAGATTCCACTTATAAGTGAGATCATGTGATACTTGTCTTTCTCTGCCTGGCTTATTTCGCTTAGCATAATACTCTCCAGGTCCCACCATGCTGTCCCAAAGGGTATGTGATCCTTCTTCTTTACAGCTGCATAGTATTCCATGGGGTAAATGTCCCACAGCTTTTTTACCCACTCATCGACTGATGGACACTTGGCTGTTTCCAG